GCGGGCCGTGTCGGGGTCGCGGGTTCGGGACCCGGCCCGGCGCCCCCTCGTATCGGCCCGGGCCGGCCCGCGAAGGGGCCCTGCGCCGTTTCCTCCCCGCGGGCATGGCGTGTCGGCGCGTGCCTGATTCCTGGGTCTTTTCCAGCAGGATGCCCTCCTGAGGCGGAGATGGCCCTGTGGGCCCGGCCGCTGTCCCGCGGCTGGCGGTTCCTGACAGGAGCCCGAGCTCCAGCGCTTCCTCCCGGGCTGAGGAGCCAGGGCAGCAAAACTCGGAGGAGCCGCGCGCCCAGCCCCCTGGCTCTGCTGCCCTCGAGAAGTGGCTTTTTCCCGTGGAAAACGCAGGCCTGCCGGTCCTCATCTGCAGGGAGCTGTTCCCAGCCCCACAGCCCCGAGGATGGGTCGCTTGCGGCTCCCGAAAGTCGTTGGCCTGCTCAGGTAAACCAGAAACAGGAAAAGGCACAAACGRTCCCTGACCTGAATGCTGCAAACGTACTGTATGAAGGTAAGAGGCCTTGGGAATCCACGGGTCATGTGTTAAGTATTGCCCCGTTCTTTCAAACTTGCTTAACTAGAGTGTTTGTTTCATTTTAGTCCCATGCACAATGCCGCCTGTGGTAGCCCGAGGAAATAAAGCGCCTTTAAGCAGGGATGAAGGGATAATCAGCGGTGTGGAAACGCTGGCCTGGAGCTGCAGCTCAGAGCTGCTGTTTCTGCATCCCTCCGTGCACCGCGCAGCGTTGGCCGCTTGTCCTGCTGCTGCTGGGGCAGGGGAAGGGCGAAAGGGCCGCGAGCAGGCGTGGAGGAGGCCGCAATGGCCCAGCCTGAGGCACTGCTGGAGGTGACTCTGTTCCCCTGGCACGGAGGCAGCAGAGGGTGAGGCCTCTAAACGGCTGCCATGGTGGGAAACGCTCAGCCCGCTGCCCGGAGGAACGGGGGTAAATGCCAGGTCTCCCTGTTGTCACCCAGAGGAACGGGGGTAAATGCCAGGTCTCCCTGTTGTCACCCAGAGGAACAGGGGTAAATGCCAGGTCTCCCTGTTGTCACCCTAAGCGAGCTGCATCGCTTTGCTTTTCCCCCGGTGGGTGAGAGTAAAACGTGCCATCCTCTGGAAATAGCTCTGCCCTGCTGAGGGAGCTTTCGCTGGAGTTAATGAGTGCTCTCCTGTGCCCAGKTTCAGCCCTGAGCAGCCCTGGCTGCTGCAGAGGTTATTTTGGGGTGGTGCAGGGCTGTAGCTGAGACCTGTGTGTTTGTGCAGCTCAACAGGGTGGCACTGGGACTGCTCCTGAGTGTCTCTGCCTGCYGTGCAGCTCCTTCTTGTGCCAGATTGTTGTCTGCAAGCAGACTAGCAGTTCTGTGTGTGTGTGTCCTTGCCCGTGGAAGGAAAATAATTGCTAGCTGTTTTCCTGAGATCCATTTCCTAATAGGAGGCTTAAAGAATGTGAAGGTGGAAAAACTACATCAGTGCTACCAAAAGGGACATTGATGTGTATTGATTTGGTCCTCAGCAGCTTAAAGGAAATGTTTCATATCCGTATGGATTCCTGGAGACAGATTTTTGATATTTAAGRGGTAAATGTCACTAAAAACATTTTACTGATTTTCCTTTTCCCTCGAGCTTGAGGACAAGATAGGCTAACTCAACCCCTGTGGTAATGGCTCCTGGCAGTTCTTCTAGGTAGCACTTTCTGGTGCAGTAGATTCTTCCTGCTCATRGGAATTTGTCGTGGCAGTTGTAATTGGTTTTTCCCTTTTTGACAAGGAATAGTATTACTCTTGTCTCTAGGAAGCCCTAGTTGTTTTGCTAAGGTACAAAACAGAGAAAATTCCCATCCTAAAGAGTGTATACCTAGGACCGTTGATCAGCTGCTGGTTTAATAGCCAAGGTGAATACCATGGGCCAGGCTGCAGAACAGCAACTTGCTCTAGCTTCTTTGAGCTCCTGGAATAGGTAAGCTGAGTGATTCTAAGAAAAGGGATTGAGTTTTATGGCTTTAGACACTCGAGGAGTGGAAAAAATACTACAAAGAAACAAACAAAAAAATAATGGTGCTCACCTGGAAACCTTGTTGAGTAGGGAATGGAGCTTCCCTTGAGTAGGAAAGTTTCTTTAACTATCAGAGGTGATGAGAATCATCCGAGACACTCATCTCAGAGATTGCTCAATAGGAGATTGGTGTGAAGTACCTTTGGAAGTTAAAGCAACTGCAGCTCGGGCATCTGATCCAGAAGGGACAGGAGGTGATGGGCATGTCGGGTTATGGAAAATGGTCTTTGCAGTAGCTTTTGAGCAGGCAAGAATATATTTGTGAAGATATGCAGATTTTCAAATTGTGAAGATACACTGCTTTTCAAACGAGTGATGTGATCTGTGGCCTGCAGTGATCAGTGACAAAGCAGGCTTGCTGTGGGACTAAGTTCAGATTTGGCTGTGTGATCAAGAGTTGATAGGCGGGGACAAGGAGATGTGGCAGAGACAAACTTAGATTTTTAGTATTTACAGAAAGAGACACACTTGGGACTGAAAAGTAGTACCAGAATTTATGCTTTCATGTATTTTCAAATGACCTGTTCTTGCAGAATGTCTTTGTGTTTTTGGGGTGGAACTGAAAACATCTCTTGGGAGAAGTGACTTTGCTTTTCACAAAATGCATTTGACTCTTTTCTCTCTGTTTCTTAGACTGGGATGASATCCCACCTTCATCTGCTTTGGAGAAGATATCTGAGGAAGAAGCTGTAAAGATCATTGCAAAGCCACTTCTTCCCTTGCAGTCTTCCACGCTCCGGGATTATGTTGACCACTCGGAAACCCTGACCAAACTGGTGCATTTAGGTATATGTGGTTTTGTTTAAGTGGTTGACCTACACCTTTTGGTCTTACTGATTCCCTGATCTTACTGATTTTGATTCTTACTGATCTTACTTGAAAATGGGAGACTTTACAGGAACAGTGATCTACAGCTAAGGGTAGTGAAATCAAGTGTTGGGTAAATGGAAGGAGAAGGGGTATGACTCACTAGCAGAGCCGTTTTAGTTGAAGACAAGGTAGGCCCTTGGACTTGTAGATGTTGGAAAGAGGCCTCTCCCACAGCTTCTAGAGGGGCAGAAAGTGTCTATAAGCGATTTGACTGGTCTCTTTTCGTCTGAGTAAGGATGTTTTCATTTACTGCTACTGAAATTGCAGCGCTCTCCCAGGAAGGAAGGAGAGCTCTCTTCTGCAGAGCCTCCAATGTGGGATATAGCAAACTGGGAAGGAGAGAAAGAAGGAATGGAAGAATACCTTAATATTAATCAAAAAGCACTTGGGCTGCACAAGAAGCTTGGTTGGGGTCATGGCTGTTGAACCCTTCCTTTTTCCTAAAAGTGCAATGAAATATCAGASAGTGGGGAAATCTGAACCAGCCGATTAGCAATCGCTTTGTGTGAGCCAGTAACCAAAGGTATTTACTTCAGGATTGCTCGTTTTACTGATGTGGTGGATTTGGGAGCCCTTGCACTTCTGTGCAGTAAAAGTAGGTCTCTGCATATGGTTGATCCTAGTGTGCTTGATTGCTCRCATGCAAGATTCACCGTAGGTAAAACAGTTTCAATGTTTTATCTGAATCTTYCCACAAYATTGTGGAAAGATATTGTGACCTTGCTGTGTCACATATACAGCAAGTGATGTATGCTGTATCACTGCAAAACAAGGAGTAGCCTTAAAAACCTCAGAATGCCTTTCTGAAATATTTGTAGGAAATAGGACTTGTATCTAATTGAAATAATAACTGATTTTATTTGTTGTAGGAGTTGATTTATCCCAGGTGGAGAAACATCAAAAGGCAGGCCAGCTCTTACTGACTTTGGACTTTGAAAAAGATATAAAAAAAATACTTCTGTTTCTTAAGGATGTGGGTGTAGAAGACAATCAATTGGGATCATTCCTGACCAGAAATCCATACATTCTTGGTGAAGATCTGGAAGCTCTAGAGACCCGGTAAGCTATTTAAATAGTACCAAGCTCTTAAACCGTACTGGTTCAAGATCTGATTTAAAAAGTGGCTTAAGCCTGTCTAAATCTGTGTTGCTATTTCCTGCCCCGCTTGATCCATGACTTCAGTCCCTTCCCATAGCTTCCCTTCCCATTAATGTGTTGTGGTTGCGTGGTGAGTTGGAGTGAATTTTCTGTCTCACCTGAATACCAACCGTTAACAAGTCCTACTGGTTGTATTTTGGTCAAACCAAACAGCTGCATGATGCTGTGTAGCCCTGTGCTGCTAGCATCTATGCAAGCGATGAGGAGGAACATCCTTCAGGAAGGAGGAAACCTGGGATAAGACCATCGCTTTTGGTGGCACTTTGGACCTGAATTACCAAGGATGCTTCCACATTGCTTAGTACCTGACGTTTCAAGTCTTGATTAGCCTATCTTTACATGTGTGTTTGGAAGAATGTTAGGTCTGCTACTTAAATGTGCTAAAGTCCTGGATGTGGGACTGTTTAGCCACCCTTGTACATGCACTTGCCATGTGCTGTTGCTTAATTAAGCCGTGTAATAGGGTGAGTGGCAATGGAAAGATTGATTGTTGAGAGTTTTGGAGAGGCAGATTTGTGGCAGCAGCTRAGGAGCTGTCTGGAGCAGGGGCTGTGGTCAGCCCCTGGTTGACTATAGCAGGAATAGTGGGAATTATCAGTGGTG